CCACATGCACACGTTCAGCCGATTGAGAGGGTTCAAATGTGCAATCGGTGGTCGTCATTGACGGCTACATGATTTTGCCTCCGACACATGTAGACGTCGATGTAGGATGCATCCTGACCTATATCCGTGAGCTTTGAATCGAGATGTCCTCTTGAATTGAAACTATATCCATTAGTCTTCCTCGATATAGTCTTTCTTGCATGTTCCTCTTAGGAGTTCAAGGACTCGCAAATCCATCCCAACTGCCGTGTATTGTGAAGAGCTGCCGACACAGGCCACGGCGGACGATTTTATACGTGGCGTCGGCCTGGAGGATCGTAGTGAGCGTCAAAGTCTCGAGCTGTCGTCTTGTGGTAATCAGAACACTGCCGAACTCCTCCAACCGGACGCTGATCATCCGCTCCCCGTCTATGGTCCGCGTATAGCCTTCGAGGTCTTGGGAATTGATGGCTCTGTGGAGATCCTGCAATGTCTGCACGGGCGGTGGCCTACTTGACGCGGCCACCCGCCGCGCGGTGCGGAGGTGTCGCACAGGGACTACCTCGGCTGAACCTGATGAGAGTGCTAGTACGGTACCGATAGCCGATTATTTTTTCCCAGAATCGTCTACGCCACAAGAAGCCCTAATTGTTTACATTGATGAACGCATTTTTAGCGGGGAGAATTCTGAGTCCAGCGGGGCGTGCGACTCGACGAATCGGCGAGTAGGCCCGTCTTGGCCACTTATACGGATTCCAATGGCGGCTTAATTAAAATTTCCCACAGTAGAGCCCCGTTAATAAACGAGATAAATGAATAGAAAAAAAATTCCGAGTGTGCATGCAGTTTTGAATGGGTTCTCATGAGCTCTCCGATCTTAGTCGCTCAAGTTTCGGTCGTATTCTGTAAGAAGCTTTGTTTTGTCCAAGAGTGCACACCTATCCACTTCATCTCGCTATCTTGTGATGGGGTATCCATATCGCGTTGAGTCCGGGTCCGCATCATACAGTCTACTACTCGGTCCAAGAATCTTCTCTTACTTAGATCGATTCCGCCGTCACCCCAGAATAACTCGCCAAAGCAGGTAAAGTCACCAAGTCGCCAGCCCCGCTGAACTCAGAATTCTCCCCGCTAAAAATGCGTTCATCAATGTAAACACGTAGGGCTTGTGGCGTGCTCCCGGTTGGGAGGGGAGACTTGAGCCGTCCACCGGTTCCAGCTGTAGTTCCGTACAAGTGACTCTCTCTGTCACACATATTCGGCAGTCCTCGGAAAAACTCATGCTCAGAATCGTGTGACTCGGTTTTCCTTCCAGGACAGAATGTCAGAATGGTGTTTCGCCTATGCGACGTTGACAAGGAAAAGTGCTGAGTTCGTCAGAACTTCCCACCTGAAAAGTATCCCGAACTAAATTGAAGTCCTTGAATGCGTGACAGACGTGTCTCCATAATACACACGACTGAGACGAATTCCAAGATCGCCGTCCAGGTTGTTCGAGCCGCTACGACGAGACTTGCAGATTGCGAAATCCTTCGTCAATAACTCTTGGAGTTCTCAATTTCCTCAACCAGCTACGGCGTATCTTCGGACAAGAGTTGAACTGTGATGCGGAGAGTAAGGACATCCCCGAAGAGCGGAATGGATCCGAGTGTGGAACGAGTCAAAGTGCTCGTCTTAGGCGATTCGGGCGTCGGCAAATCAGCGGCGGTGAATTTGATTTGCACTGGTAAGCCAGCAAATCGAGCCCGGCCATCAACAATCGGTTGTAATGTGGAAGTAAAACTGCACGATTACAAGCCCGGCACGAACAGCCAGAGAACCTTCTTTGTGGAGCTATGGGAAATCGGAGGCAATGCGGGGCATGCTCAAGCCCGTCGAGTTTTCTACAAGTCCGTTCACGGTAAGCGCCTCGCTCTATCTTCAATCAACATCCCAAAAAGTCCTTCGCAATACTCCTTAGCTCCATAAACAAAAAATTATAAGAATAATAACAATTTACGAGGTGGGCCTCCCGACACTTTCGAGATATTGAATGAGGTACATCTTGTTCCAGGTGTAATACTCGTGTACGACTTGACGAATAGTAAAAGTCATGATAACCTCAAAATGTGGTTAGCCGACGCCTTCTCGCAACGCGAGCGAGCGCATTTCGACGCCGAGACTTTCGCTGATCTGCAAGTGAGTATCGGCTTTCTGAGAGTTACTGACGTTCCCGGAACTACGGACGGGGGACAGTCGATCGTTTGAGTTCGTGGAATATTTGGGATGACTTTCTTTCCAGGTCCCTGTTTTAGTTATCGGCACAAAAGCACTACAGAAAACGGAACGCAGGGGACTGACGATCGCTGACTTCTGCGGCGCGGAAGAGCTTCTCATCGATTCGTTCTCGGAAACGAGCCATGGCCTGGATCCGGGGTCATCGAACGCTGTCAAACTATCGTACTTCTTTGACAAAGTCATCGAGAAGAGATATTTTTCTGAGAGCATCCAGAGTTCTCCCCCGACGTGTGTAGGGGATAGGAGGAGACCAGCGACTTCTCCGCGCTACCTTCAGCACCTCGACTAGCATGAAGTTTCCGATTCAGAAGGACATGTCAGTGAGGCGCGGTAAAGGATGGGATGAATAAATAAATGAATATTTTTGTTGAGTGTATCGACTGGGAGGATTTTTTTTATTCGAAGGAGGCGTGGGAGGTCTCCGGAAGTTCTCCAGCCTATCAATCTGTGTTCTTCTGATACCCGCTTCTGACTCCACCGGAGATGCGGCTCAAGGCAGCGCCTTTAGCGAGACATTTGAGCAAAATGAAAAGTCAATCTTAGCGCTCGAAGTCCAAGTCCATCTTCACGCTGAAAGCACGACTGATGACACCATCAGATGAAATGTACTCAGGCTGTTCGGAGACCGTTGTCCAGGTATCTCTGAGTCATCGTCGCCCGGGGTGACTTTACTCTAGCGTTCGGTGATTTCCGATAATGCCGGTGCCCCATACGTCATGCTCCGCTGGTGCATATTCCGTCACCCTCTGAGTATCCCGCTGGCAGCCCAGCCAGCTGGTCCAAGAGACCCGAAAATCGAGATGCTCTTCAGGTCCGATTTTTTTCCGACTCTAGCTCTGACTTCCCAGCCGCGATATGTGCATATACCTCCGATTAATTCTCTTCCATCTGAGATGGGGCTGACGAGAGAAATTTCGGCGAGCGGAGCCGACTCGCTGAATTTACGCGCTGTCGAATCGACAGAAATGTCGCTCGGGCCATGAGCGAGCAGAGCCCGGACCCTCTCCTGTAGGTTCGTGATAGCGCAAAGAGGAGAGGACATTCGAGTGCTCAAGGCGCTCGTCGTCTATCGGCTCGGCCTCCCCCGAGCGAAGACCTCCACCCGGTTCGTTGGACTTTGACTCCACCTAGGATTATTGTTATGCTTCCTCCTGTGAGAATCTCATCCTCCGTGTTCCACCTCCGGCATCCTCGCCACTGACACCCCGTAGGACGTTCTTCGAAACCTGGCAGTCGGCCCGTCTGCCAGCCAGCACAATGAGAGACTCAGTTCTGTTGCTTCTCTGCATTGTTGCCGGGAGTTCTTACGCTGAAGAGTGAGTAAGGCTTCGGAGCTTCCGAAAGATCTCGGACGACAAAGTGAGAGGATCCCATTCGAGGGTTCGGTTTGAGGAGCTGAGGCGTGGGAAATCATTTCGCTCTTACGCAATGACATTGTTCGCAAGTGGTCAGAGGAAAGCTCGCGAGTAGAGCACCAGAGTAGGTTAAGGTCTGCGCTCGCGCGCCAGTCTAAATTTAACCCTCCAACACGGACCATGCGGCAGTGAATACCGCCCTGCGTTTACATACTTCGAGTGCGAAGAGCCATTTTTCCCACAGCTTCCGAGGCAGAATCCGAGCGGCTGTTAACGACTGCGACAGACTTCCTGATGAGGCGCGATTCAAATTCGGTTATATATAGAATTGGGAGCGAATACTCGGTTGGAGCAATCGGAGTCCTTGAGCTGGCCTAGGTTTCTGCTCTTGGATTTTTTCCGTCGAGCGGATGGAGAGACAAGATGGAGGAAATTTATATTCTCCATTCTATAAGCGACCATTATCAGATACCTGGAGATCGAGTCATCAGAAGTCGTTCCTCTTTCGTGGCTAATATTCGAAACGCCAAGTTGCCCCTCATCTCCGGGCTCAAGTTCAGAGGCCATTCGATCATTGTCGATACTCAAGCCTTGGAGTAAGCTCCCATTTAAGTGCGTAGCATCTGCCCCCTTCTTCTTTCTCGATACTAGATCGGGGTAGAATCGAGAGAGAGAGAGACTCAGGGAGCAAGCTCATGTCTCTCGAGATGATGTACTTTGACCTCCACGTAACTGCAATATTTTGATTACGTTTTGTGAAGAGTCGGTCCTCTCGATATCAGAGGAACCCCAACCTGATCCCTCAGGAGCGGTTATTAATAGTTGACCGACACCATGGCGCAACTGCCTGCAGGCGACCTCGGACACACTCCGATTCTAATTTTAGCGTAATTAAGACAGACTAATTTGCGACAGGGACAGAGGGGAAAGTTTGCGGGGAAGCTTGAGGGCTACACGAGATTTGCTCCGCGTACGCGCGTCTTTCTTCTTCCATCCGAATCCTTCGCGACCGATGATTTTGCCCTCCCTCTGATCAATAATCACCTAAACAGCTCAATTTTCGCCTACCTTCGAAGAGCTGGAACGTTGAAGGGAAGTTAGTTTTTTTCGACCCCGAAGCGACGTACCCACTGACTTTGAACCTGCTTTCAGCTTGACACGCAATGAGCTGTCTCACGCCGTAGTGACGTCCCTCATCGATCCCGAAAAATACGATGCGCGGATGAGAGCACCAAGCGGACCTGACTGCGATCAGAAAACATGCGACTATAAGCCTGTGCACGTCAAGGTGAATGCCTTTGTACGCAGGCTTCGCTTCGATCAGCCTCAGATGGTGAGTTCCTCCGGTGAGCCATGCGTGACGTCCTAACCGAGTCAGCTCGTTACGTGACGGCTCTAAATTATATCGGATCATCGGCGGTCAGAGCCCCTTTGTTGCCTACGCTCCCTTTGTACCGGTTCAAGAGTCCCCTTCGAAAATCCCCGTAGGAGTATATTAGATTCGGATAATAATCACCGTTGTAGCTCTCTGTGAGTTTTGGCTCTACTCCGGAGCAGAGGAATTATAATTTTCAACATTCGGCAGTATTGAGAGGATGCGATCGATACCGATGATTCGTACTCCAAAGGAGTACCCTTAGCTTCTAGATACTCAGCTCACACTCCGGATGGAATGGAATGATCCCCGCTTGTCATACGTCAACCAGTCGGACAACCTACCGTATGTTCTTCTGAGTAAGCCATCAGACATATGGCTACCGGATCTGTTCCTTTCTTCGGAAGTACGCACCGAACGTCACGATTTCCTTTTACCGAACGTTCTGATTCGACTCAGACCGAAAGGGGATGTTCTCTACAGCACAAGGTAGGGCGTTAGGAGCACGTGGGGCTTGCGAATAATTTCACTCTGAATCGTGTCGAGAGCACGGAGCAGCGAGGCCGACTCCCAGCGCGAACGAAACTCAAGCTGCATCGCTCCTACCTTCCGCATCGAATCTTTCAGGATAAGTTCCAAGTTGAATTGCCTCATTGATCTCGCGCAGTTCCCGTTCGATTCGCCGGTGTGTGAACTCATCGCTGCGAGCTGTGAGTTCTCAGAATTCGATTCTTCCTTCTTAGACCGTGACAATTATCCAGATTTCTGAGCTATTGGGGGACGGCCATATAATTTCTTGCTTCCAGACGCTCACACCACGGAAGACTTGGTCTTCTGGTGGAATGAGACTGATCCCGTGCAAATAAACATAAAACAGATTTCCAACGATATCTATTTGGACAAGGTGAGCTTCCGACGGATTTTCAGGCGCTTCGAGCCCTGCCTGATTGAAGAGATAGGGTTCAAGAGGAGAAATCGAACGATGAGCTCGGTTTATGACTCTTGTTGTTTATCTTCGACATCCGGCAGGTGACAACTAGGTCGTGTACATCGACAACCGCAACGGGAGAATACACTTGTATCAAGGCGCAGTTCTTCCTGAAAAGGAGCTTGGGCATATATGTCGTGAAAGTTTACGCACCCTGTGTGATATTGGTGTTGATAACCTACGCAGGATTCTTCGTCAGGGTGAATATCAGCCGATCCGATAGGCGACACTTCGTTTCAGAAACGGGAATGGTCCTCAGATTCTTTGGGGTCGATGACAATGATCCGACACTTCGGGTCTGTCCTCTCTGCGTCAAGGTCACTCGTTCGCCTGCTCCCCGTTCCCGAAGGCTCAGAGGCAACTCCTGCTCCCTACGAAGCGTTTCCCCTGAAAGATGCAGAGCTCTGCCTCGGAGCGTTTACGGATGTTCCTTAAATGGAAACCTCGTTAAAACCTCTTTCATTCATCTCCAGCATACGGTCACTGCTGTGCGGACGCTCTTGCATCTATTCCCGACGTTGTTGTTGGCGCACTACGCGTTTTCGTTCGATAAAGATTTATCCAACACCATGCTCCACCAATGGGTAATAGGCTGTCTGATCATAGCCGTCAGCTCATTATTCGAGTTCATCGTACTAGTCTATGTGCACGAGGTGCAGCGATGCGAGAAGGTGGGTTGTTTTGCCTTACTTCACTTGTCTCCGAAGCGGAATGATTGAGCGAGCTTCTTCACTGCCGCGATTTACTGTACCTGAATTAATTAATTGAGGTAAATGCATTCTGAAAACCAGAATAGCTTCAATCATGTTCAATCCCTTTCCAGCTGAACAGTCGTGCGGGCGGTTTAGCGGGGAGCTCCTTCAGAGAGGACGCTCGACAGACCATACGGCACTACCCTGTTAGCAACCTCGACATCCTTGCGCGCGTCGTGTTCTTCATTGTCATCATCATCTTCAATCTTGCGTATTTCATCTATTGATCGAAAACACAGCGACCCTATCAAACGAGATAGCCGACCGGATCTCGGAAGAGGAATCGAAGTCAACAACACTGCCGAAATGTTTTATCCAGGGGTCGGTCAGTCTCGGGTTCCGGCTTCTATGAGAGAGATGCCGAAACCACAGAACGTGTTACACTCGTATCATTAGTACAAAACTCATTGTCTCACTTCGATGTAAAGCGAGTCGAAAACAAGCCAATCATATCCCGTAGGTATTCGAGATCTCGAAATAAGAAAGGCGCTGAAACGGTGTGAGTCTTATTCATGAGCTGTCCTTTCTCACCGGGAACCGCGAAGGTTCCGATCTCGACTGTTGGAAAAGAAATCGCAGTTCATTGCTTACTGCATCTTGTCAATATCTTACTGCCCCAAACATCCGCCCATCCGGCATTGGTGGATCTAATCCTCGTCAGGACAGAGCTGCTCCCGACCGACGGGTAAGCCCTCGATGAAGAGAACGAAGAATCTTTCTTCCCGTGGAAAGATGATTCTCGATGCTTCGCCTGCTGAACGAGTCAGAGCTTGCGTCTGTCTCAGAGATGGTGTTCTATTCATTCAGCGAGGGGAGCCCGGACGGAGCGCTCTGTTCTCGGAGAATCTTCTCGAGACTTCTCAATGCTTCCCGTGTGAGGAATACACACATGTTTGACCGGCATGAGCGCGCAGACGCTTGCCGGTGCTCCATGATGTCTCACATCTGTCAGGGCCCAGAGTCTAAGCGAATGGAGAACTCACAGAATACGAAGGAAACTACGCTTTATTACAGATCAAATCAAGTCACACATTCCAGTTCCAGGTACAAATCCCTTGTGGAGGCGAATACGCTGCATGATATATCCAAACTACTGTACACACTGTTCGACTAAAAATAATTGAGATCAAAGCACCGACACGACAGGTTCATGATTCAATTTTCTTGCTGTCTCCGCCGCTCCTGTCGATATTCAGTTTGACTTGACTTTCGCCGGCTTTGTTATCCTTGAGCGGAGCTTCGATCCTGAGTACGCCTTCATGCGTATCAACCATGGCCTCCATTTTTTCGAAATCGACTTGATCGAGCTTCAGCTTCTCATGGAACTCGCTGACCGACGTGAAATTCTCTCTTTTCGATTCGAAGCGGAAGGAGACGCTCAAACAATCATCCTTGAGAGATATCTGGAATTTCGGAAGGGAACGATTAGGTCTTTGAACACAGGGATCTTACTTGGAAAAAATATCTCTCATGAAACGATAGCCTATCGGGATCAGAAAGATCGGCAACTTACTTTCACGTCTTCTGGCTTCACACCTTCGGGCAACCCCATTTGTGCAATCAGTTTTCCGTCGTTCTCATGTAGGTGTAGTCTGGATTCGAATTCGCCAAGCAGGTCTCGACGTCTGAAGCTCGGCCGACTGAGAATCATGGGCTGCCTGAAGAAATCGTCCATCATTCGATCCAAGGCCCGGAATTCCGCCGGCAAACTCATGTGCCGGGATCGCACGGGAAGACGGCGCGTGAGAGCGGGTCGGAGGCGGCAAAGTTGACGAGCAAACATCGTGGCACTCAATAGTAAGCGGTTCACGAGAAATGCACAAAGTGCGGCGCGTCGTCAGTAGTTTGATAGTTGTCGAGGAAGCTCTTAGTCCTGAGGTGGTTGATGTAGAAAGTGCGCGAGCTGGCCTGTTATATACCGTCAGGAGCGCCACCTAGTGAGCGCCAGACGTTTCATGCGTGTTCGCGAGAAATCGAGAAAACGCCGGAACGCTTCTCTAGGCTCGGAGAGTTTCGCGATGATCCAAGGGATTCATTTCATGCGCAGGTCCTCATCTAGAAAGCTCAAGCAGCAGCCGAACCTCGCGAGCGAGCTTCATTCCAGGTTCGCAGTGTCGGCATCGAGCGGTCGGATAAGCCGCCGACTGAGCAGGGGTGGAGGGAGTCAGGACGACTTGGAGAATAGTCATGTCCGGGACTTTTTCGAGTATGGAGAGAAGTCGGAAAATAGATATCGAATCTTACGACATCCGCGCGACTTTATTAGTTTCTCTTTATATTCCGAACGCCTCCACCTGATGCATACTACAAGCCTACAAGTAATCGCCACCCATCTTACAACCTCAAGGATGTGTGTTGTGTGAAGTTATCAAGCTCGAGTCTCAGATGCAAATCGGTATCTTGGAATGCCGAGCCTGTCGAGCGCTCACTGCGTTCCCGCGCTCGCTTTGACGGAGCATGTGCTTCTAACTTAGCTTCCTAGCTCAAATCTTTAATTCGTTTCGGACATCCTCCACCACGCTCACGTCAGAAATTCTCCCAAGGAGGGGCTAATCGAGATGAAGCATCTCCTGAAATCCACTCGAAGGAGCCTTACTGCTTAAGCGGCTGTAGGTATTTCCGTTGAGAGCTCCATCGAGCTTTCCGCCACGAATTCGCTCAGCGAGGGATCCCATCCCTGTAAGCGATCGAATTCGTATGTCCCGGCCATGGTACTACCGGATTCCCCCGTTATGACGCCGATGCGGGAAACTCCAACTCTCCGGAATCACGAATGCCCTCGTGCTCGCGGCGCTGCGGGATTTTCTTCCTTCCTCACGAAAATGATAGCGAGCCCTCCGAGTACTCGACGGACTCACTGATGTTGACTGACTGAGTAAAGAAAAGGGGTGAACGAGCCTCGTCAAGAATCCTCAGTCTTTCCGCGTCGAAGTCTTCCCGAGGAACTCGACCAGCCGGCCGAAGCTTTCTGATTTTTCTCGATCTCTCGGGAACCCACCTGATTCGTGCGGCGCTCGCTAGATGGCGCTCTCCGGAGTAGAGATTGGCTCGAGGCCACGATGATCAAGTATTGCTTCAGATTTGTGAACTTCACAAAGAAACATTCGAAAGTTCTCTAGAAGCACTTGTAGTCCTGGTGCATTGTCCTTCCTATAGAGAAAACTTCAATGTTCGCTCGTCAGCTCGCTCAGCCGTCTCCGACCGGCGCTTGCGCGGTGTCTTCCCGCGCGGAGCCGGACCCTCAGTCTACCGGCCGGATCCCGGGTTCTCGACCGTATGTGGACGGACTTGTGGAGGACAACCAAAGATCCCTAGTCGGCTAACCTTCCGGAGTCGAGACTCGCTTGGCGACTTCGGGTCGAGGATCAATCGACACAAGATTGATTGAAAACTCATCGCTCGAATGGGATGACCGGAAGGTGTCAAGCCAGAAGGCGTGAAATTGAGCTGCCCACCATGGAGGGGGAATTGATATAGAGGGATGGAACGCTTCGATCGCTCAACCATTCGAAGCTGATGGAGTTTCACCCCTTCTTTTCCGAACTAACAAGCAACTCTGGGAGACGATTCTTCGAACATCTTCTCCCGCTTCGAATCGAAAAGCGAGAACTTAAGCTTCGTCAGCGAGTCCCGTGTAAGGCTGACGCTGGATCAAGTCGATTCCCATGGGATGAAAGCGATCGTAGATACCCATTGAGGTGTTCTCCGGGTCGGAGCCCCGCTCCGGGAGAACCCGTCGAGGGGAAGACGAATCGAGTTAGATATTGGCAGAAAGAGCAGCGATTGTGAAAATATTGAATCCTGAGCCTGAGTCGACCGAGTCGGCGTATCGATCTCAGCCCAATTAGTCTGTGCAGCAGTTGAAGCTTTGCACACTTTGCTCGCTCGTAATTATGTATTCAGATCGTAGCAGACCTCTCGTGACTGCGGGACGAATTAAGGTGATTTGCTTCGAATGAATTCGTACTGAAACGACGCCTGAAAGACGAGAATAACTCCTGCGATATGAAATCATCCAGAAACATGTTGCCCACGGCCGCCATTTGTACACACGGGGCTCGTCGAAAAACATCTCATTTTCGGATGTCAGGTCAGGGATAATCGAAGAGTCATTGATGTCCCACGTAAACAGTGACTTTTATTGGGAGTATTGAAATTGATAGAATTATACAAACTTGAGCGAAGTCTCTAGAATAGAAGATGTTGGTTGGTCGTTTGCATGAGGCCCAGTAGTGACTGCGCCATCTTTTTGCTCGCGGCGAAGTTGAGTCGATCCAGGACAGGTTTCTTCACTTCGGCCGGACGTTCCTTGAGCACGCGCTGAGGAGAGCAGAAAGCATTCGGTTTTGAGTCTCGTCATGGTCTCAACTTATCGCCATTGTCACCCGGAAAATTCAGCTGCTAGCGCATAGTGTACCTGGAGGCACGACATGAGTCTCTGGAGATGAGCCACGTTCTTGACCCTAGTCTCGTCGCGTTCAAGAAGCTCGACGGCGTCTCTCAACAACTGGCTGAGGAAAAACCCTGGCGACCACTGCGAGTCCACGAGAAAGAGAAGGAGGTCGCAAGCCTGTTGCGGGTCCGATTCTCGAACTCTGTGGAACTCACTGTACTTCGCGAGAAAACTCAAACGCTCGCTGACGAGCATCTCCTGACCGAGGGATTTGAGTTGGTCTTCGCTCCTTATGCGACCAGTTTCCAAGAACTCGGCCAGAATCAATTCCGACACCCTCGAAACGAGAGGTGAATTCCGAGATCGAATCGCCCAAGTCAACGCAGTATCTGAAACCGCACCGAACAGAAACCTCAGATCGTCGTCTCTCATAACCCAGTCTCGGATGTATGAATCATACTTGTACCGCCAATGTTCCGACCGCGAGCAACGATCTAGATATCGCGGGCATCCTCACCAAGTTTCCCCTCCTTTATCCATTTCATGCTCTGCATACGATATATCGACGCTGCTGCCTCGGGCAATCCTAGCTTCTCCGCGATGGCGACTACTTTCAATGCCTGAAAGATGATATTGTTCGGAGTTGGTATTTCGACCAATAAGATAAAGTATCAAATCTCTCGCTAAGGGTCCCTGTACAAAGCTGACTTTTTGTTGCGTCGGGCAGTAAAGGCTGATGAGGGCTTCGGTCAGGATGGCTTTGTTCTGTTTACAGCATTGACAGTTGCTTAGGTAGAGGAGAGCAGTCTCCCACAAAGAGCGTTGAGACAAGAGCAACAGGGCGTAGTCCTTCAGAAACTGTTCATGCAGTGCTTCCCTGGAATTTCCCCGAACCGTAAGTGCGACCCATGGGCACAACAGGACGGAGGTATCTGAATTGACGAGACGTCCGGTCTCGGATCGTGAATTCGCCCTCAGATGTCCGAAAGGTCGACGGAATCACTTACACGTTGACGATGTTGTAGGTCTGCAGATCGGCGCTGTTGACGAGGAGGTCCAGCAAGTGAGCTCCGGTCCACCAGAAGTCATCGAGATCCGCCAGCTGTCTTAAAAAGCTTTGCAAGTCCAATTTGAACAGAGCTAGCACCAATTGACTCAAGGGATCCGAGCTTATGAAGCCGCTCGAGCTCAGAGTCTGTGGAGAAGCAAGATTCTCAGGCTCGATGATATAGCGACCCCAGAATAGTAGATGGATCCGGCAGCACATTCTGCGGAAACTCACCTGATCGGCGAGTTTAGCCAAATCGGAAACCCCGACTAAGGGCTGAGCATAGGCAGCTTTGGCAATGGCGAAGTGGAACCAGGAATCGAAAATATGCTTCTTCCTCTCGAATTCCGCTGCGTTCCCGGTCAATAGCAGACATGCCGAGTGGAAAGGTGTGTCCAAGCCGAAGCGAGCCTCCGCAGCAACTTGTTTCACGGTGTCCTGAAGCGTTGAGCCTCTGATGTCAGAGAGTCGCGGACCAGGAGAAGTCTTCGATTTCAATGGATAAAACGCTGAGTGAACTTTTCGGAATTGAACGAACCTGCCACACTTTCCATTGTTCAAGGAACTGCAAAGGTATTTGAGCGCTGTCACCCATTACGGGAATGCTCTCGAGGATTTTCGCCATCAAGGTGAAATCTTCTCTCGGCCAGTGAGGATGCCGCCGGAGTATGATGCAGGCATCTTCGATTTGTCCTAGAAAAATAAAAGCGGTCGTTTCCCAGAGTCGTGACGTGTAGAAATCGAGGATGAAGAGGAATTTCCGAAAAAGGAACTCCTCTCGAACCTCTTCTCTCTGCCGGGAGCTCACGCCGCTCAGCCGGGATACAGTTAACTCCGGTTCCACTTTACGTCGAATTGGCCAACACTGTCATACCGCTTCTTTCGATTTGCTGCCGTTCCAACTTTTGGAGAGAATTTGTACACCATGGAACTCCCGTCCCCGATTCTCACCATGACTGATCAAGATGAAAAAAGTGTCCCAAAACTTTTCCTCGTCTTGGGCAAGCGTATCCGTCAAGTCCGATAGTCTTTCTGCAGTCGACGACGTCAAGAGGGCGGTCCATTGTTGGAGTTGCTGGTCGGAAAACAGGAGCTCAGTTGAAATGGAGAGATCAAAACTGTAGTATAATTATGCACCGATGCCTGTACGGAGAGCCCACCTGGATGAGAACTCCCGAAGGCTGCGGCTCGATGACGAGAATCTCGCAGAGATGCCAAACACTCTCGACCAATCGGAAGACAGGAAGTTGTGAATTCGATTCATTCAGCTGAGCCATGGCTGAACGGTACAATTTCGATACTTTGGGGATGAGTCGACGTCTGTGGTCCGGCAAGAGATTCTATTAGAGTCTTATTCATCGACTACGAGTACTGACGGAATCCGTTTCGTCCCAACTGAGTCACCTGTCTTGCTTCTCCTGCAGAGATGCTTTGAAAGCTCTGAAGACACCTGCGGTGTGCGCGATGAAACATCTGAGAGGTACATCGATTCGGTCACCCACGAGATTGACATGATTCGCCGATGCTCCAGCTGCGACCCCGAGAGCCAGTGACGATGTGATTGAGAAAGGTGGCGCCTTGAGATTGGTTGACATCGCGCTCATGTGTTTTTGTGGATGGAACCGCAACTACGGAAAGGCGCAATAATGGTTTTTAGATATGTCGAGCCTCCGGTACCCGTTCAGCGCCCAGCTAATTCGAAATGCCGAACCAGGAACTGATCTAAATAACCAAGGTCCACGACTCTTTGATTCAGCGCGATTTCGCACTTCGCTTCTATATAGAATTCGAAAAGTCCACCGGTTTGCCGGCACGGCGTGATCCAAGAAAGAATTTTGAGCAGGACGCTCACCTTCGTGGGTCTCCCAGATCGGGAATTCCTCTGGCCTCCTCACCTATTCAGGTGGCAAGAACAACGATACACGGACTCGGACTTTAGCCGCAACGAAAGCGATTTGGGCGAACTCTCGCCGTCTCATGCGAGACTAGCACTCCGGCCGGTGCTGAAAATGGCGCTAAGATTTTTTGAATTCTGGCGGGCTTTTCTTCCGGACCTTTTCCGTGACATGAATCTCGGCGCACAGATTTGTCCTGTCCGAATCCCCGACTCAGCATCAAGAGTGGAGAGTCAAGGAAATAATGGAGGTCGCCACATGAGAATCATTCTTGGCTCGAGCTTATCATTGGTTTCCAGTCACCCGTGTCCCATGTTTCGAAAGCCGTGGAGGGTTGCGATATACGGCGGCGTCGCGGCTGCTGCAACCCCTCACCTTCCTCTCAGAGTAGAGAAAAACAAGGAGCATCAGTGAATCCAGAAGTGTAAATAGGAGAGGTTGCGATTGATGTAGTGCACCTGAGCGAGGCATTAGTGTCATACGCTTGTCGAGTGAGTGAGTGTCCCATCACAGAAAACCAGCATTTCCTGTCGGCGGTTCTGCATGCCAATTTATTAGATGACAGTCTGTCGCTCATTCGGAGAAGCAGCTCATATGATGCAAACATCTCGCATCAGTGTGAATGTCTGATGTCGTTCGAAGATGTTAAATTTTTCGACTCTTCAGGTGACTTTCCCGAAACGAAACCATGGTCGTGAGCGAAAACTCCGGCGGAAGTTGGGGTTCTGATGTTGTCCTTCTCGTGGAAGCTACAGCAAACCTTTTTCCGTTCGTGGAGAGCATAAAAACAAACTACATAGTTCCTACTCTGGAGCTTTTCAATGGAGCTCCGGCCGATGACAGGTATGCTGAATTACACTCATCTGTGGGTGGAGGAATTCCAGGAAGGCAGGCCGTGTCGAGAGTGAGCGGCTGGTGCGGACTGAGAGACTCAAACTATGTTTCCGATTTCGCAGGGACTACGGATACGACTCGATAATCAATTGTTCCTACACACTGCTGACTTTCACCGCGGCGGACTCCGCTCCGGATCCGGCTTGCATAACTGTTACTCCGCCGACGTCATCGATAGGGAAAATTCTGTCGGCTTTCGACAAGTTGCTGTTCGCCGGTGGAGCGGCGGAACAATGTTCTCATATCACGGAAGGAATGGCCACGGCTCTGCAGGTGTTCGAAGACCTATCTGCCTTCAAGGGTGGGAATAAAGAGGGATCGAAGCATTGCATTCTCGTATGCAACTCGCCGCCGTACCAGCTGCCTGTCCTCGAAACTATGAACTTCCACGGGCAGACTCTCGACCAAATCGCGATGACCATGCAAGAGAGGTCGATCAGCCTGACCATCATATGCCCCCGGAAAATACCGCAACTATGCAAGCTCTTCGAGAGAGCGGGCGGCGATCTCATGGGGACGCTAAGCAAGAACTACGCAAAGGACAAACGACATCTCATACTTCCGAATGGATTCGCACTCGCAGAACGCTCGGTCACGCCTCCACCAGAAACGAAACCGACACCCGCCTCGCCGCGCAGTCCCATAGCTGGTCAGAAACGAGCCGCGCCGCCTGGAAGTTCTCCACCCAGGGAAGCGAAAATTTTCAAACAGCCCGGAAGTGTTCCCTCTCCTCAACAAGGTGAGTCCGCGAGCTTCAGAATAGATCTCCGACCGAATTTCGAGATTCGTTCCGTTGGTCCTCGGTGTCGAGCGCCAGTTACATATTCATCTTTCCCGCAGGACCTGTCGGTCCGCCAGTGGGCCCTCCGGCGGTCGCTCAAAGAGGTCAGGCACCGACGCCCCCGCAGATGGGAGGAATGAATCAACCCAATCCTCCGAACGTGAACATACGGCAATTCAATGCAGAGGTCAGGAGTCCCAGCGGAGGAGGTCGCGGTCATGGGGGTCATTGGAACAACCCGTCGCCCCCTGTTTCCACTCCGTCCCCCACGAACATGTCGCTGCTGCAAAGTCAACTCAGTACCGCTCCGATGCAGGCCCAGAACCCGGGTCAGTTTCAACAGAATCAAATGTACAGACAAAGAATGGTTGGTCCTAGTCAAATGGGAGGCCCGCCGAATCAGAATCAGGGCTCGCCTGGAATGGCCTACGCGAATCAGCAGCAGCAGCAGCAACAACAGCAACAACAACAACAGCAGCAGCAGCAGCAGCAGCAGCATCAACAACAACAGCAGCAGCAGCAACAACAAATGATGAGCGGGATGGGTCCCATGAATAACCAGGGACCCCCCCAAATGAACCAAAACCCTATGATGTATCAGGGACCAATGAATCAGTCCATGCCCGCCAACCAGGGCAACGCTGTTGGCCCAGGGAATCAGCACATGATGGGTGAGTTTCCCAGTAACCTGCGTACCTTGCAACGCAAATAATTCTACCGGAACCTCCAGGATGTCTATTCCAAATATTCTGACTTGTGGAATCATTCTAGGTGTCAATCAAGGTGGGATGCCGATGGGTCCCTCGGGTCAACACCAGGGACCGACCCGCAAAATCATATGGCAGGGCGATATAGAATATCACGACCGGAACACTTCGGCGCCGAGGAGTATGTTCAAACTACAGTGTGTCATCTCCTCGCAGGTCAGTTGCCCCGAACCTCTAGCGACGCACGATATGATTCGATTTGGGATCGGAAAAATTTCGTCCTCGCAGCTTCCGCAGCATTTGCCGACGGAGAGAGTCTGCAGGCCTCAGAATAGTTATCGCGAAGTCGCCGTCGTAAATTGAAACGCTACTTTCATCAGGTGAGCCAAGGCTCGGAACCCGAAGTGAACGGAAACACGTGGCCGGAGAAGATGTCACTTCAGCTTCTACCCAGGGCGTTACTCATGAACGTCATGCCAATCGTGAAGAACGCAGCACGTTGTGTATTCCTCAATTTTCAACCGATGGAGCCCCAGCAAGGTCTTCCTGGCGCCACAGAGAGCCCTCTCTCGAATCTCTGCAGGTGAGTTCTTCCTCGAAGATTTCCCCGCGTAGCCTTTGCCGGAGGCCCCTGAGGGAGGGCAAGCCGATCGAAAATGTGATCATGACTCGATCTCCGAAATTTCTTCCAGGCTGATGAGTACTTCTTTCCTTGGCTTCATCCACCTGAACTCCCCGCCGTGTGATATCAAAGTCATGATCGTGGTCTACATGTCGGACAAGAACACTTTCATGGGATTGATTGCAAACGATCAGGACAATCTTCTCAACGCGATAAAACAGGTGTTTGAAAACCACAAAAACTCTCAACGGCAGATGCAACAACCGCAGATGCAACAGCAGAAGAAAATGGGGCCAGGAGGAATGCCCAACCAGATGAATATCTTGCCCCAGGGCAATCTTCGCGGCCAGCCAAACGTCATGGCCGCTCAACAAGGATCAATGGGTGGGCAACAGGGCTCCATGGTTGGTCCTCAAGGACCGATGGTCGGTCATATGGGCCCAATGTCCGGACCGCAGGGACCGATGGGGGCGCAGCAAGGAAATCCACCCGGATCGATGATCAAAGTTGAATCTCCCCATCTGCCTAATCAACAGGGTCCGATGGGAGGTCATCAGAATCAAATAGGCAATCAACGAGGTCCGATGGGCAACCAGCAAGGACTCATGAGTGGTCAGCAAGGGCCCATGGGGAATCAACACGGACCCATGGGAGGCGCGCAAGGGCCCCTCGGGGCTCAGCAGGGGAACATGGGACCCCAGCAGGGGCCGATGGGTGATCAACGAGGACCCATGATAAAAGTGGAGCAATCGCATATGGGTAATCAACAAGGTCCGATGGGAAGTCATCAAGGTCCGATGGGAAATCAACAAGGCCCAATGGGCAACCAGCAGGGTCCGATAGGCAACCAGCAGGGTCCTATAGGCAACCAGCAGGGACCCTTGGGAAACCAGCAGGGACCTATGCGCAATCAGCCGGGTCCGATGGGTGGTCAGCAGAATCAAATGGGGAATCAGCAGGGATTGATGGGAAATCAACAAGGACCGATGGGACATCAACAGGGTCCGATGAGCAATCAGCAGCTCCCGTTGGGCAATCAACAAGGATCCATGGTAAATCAGCAAGGACCAATCGATGGTCAACAAGGACCCATCGGGGGAATGGGCCAGCAGCCCATGATGCAGCACGGCGGCGTCATGAACCAAATGGGAATGGGAGGCCCACCACACGGTCAGATGAACCAGCGGATGGGAATGCCGCAACAACAGAACGTGGGCGGTCCTGGTGAGTAGAATCGCAGGTTTTCTCCCATTCGATTTCCTGGTCGAGGTAGCCCTCTCGGACCTCTCCGGATGGGAATCTCATCTATAGGGATGGTCCCTCCGCTGGGAGTCGAACTTTCCTATCCAGAAAGAGATCGAAACTGACCGAATATATTTCAGGTATGAATCCCGCTGGCGGTCCGATGGGTGTTGGCAATCCCGGGATGCTCCCTGGAGGTCAAGGTGGCGGGATGATGCAACCTGGAGGAGGGCCTGTCGGTGCGGGGCCCCAGACCGGCCCATCCGGTGAATACGCCTATACTGATAACGAGCGGAAACAGAATCTGCTCAAAATAGAGCAGTTGCGGGCAACACTGGAAGCAGCGCAGCAGAAAGAGCAGCAGTATAAACAACAGCAGAATATGCCAGTCCAAGGGAACCAAGTGGGTCCGATGATGCCCCAGGCTGGACAAGGCGGCGCTAGAGCGATGGGTCCAGCGATGCAGATGCTCCGAGGGCAGGTACCGCAGAATCCGCAGCTGAGACATCTTCTTCAGCCCCAGGTGCAAGCCCAGCAGATGCGAGGTCAGATGATGCCCGGACCCCCGGGCGGAGGCCAACAGCCGCCGACGCAACAACAACAACAGCAACAGCAGATGTACGCCCAACAAAACCAGCAGTACATGCAGAATTATAACCAACAATTCTGAGATGATGCTCCAGGAAGCAAGGAGGTAATGACCCGCGCAAACGTGTACATACATGAACCCAATTGCATCGAATAGATCGCAGGTTGCTCGAGAGCTCTGACGCCCACCCTTAGTCGGGGGCGTCTAGCGAGCAGATCCGAGAATCGCATAGGAATTTATTTTCGAAATGAGCAGAAGTCTCTCAAGAACGCTTCTGTACAGATGTCTGAGTCAGACACCATCCCCGGTCATGCTTTCGGTCGGAATCTCTCCTAGATAGTTGCGAATCGCCTCTTTCGGATACCACAGACCTGCGCCGAACGAGGGCCCCGCGCCCTGAAGTAGCGAAGGCGCAATGTTCATCCTTCCCCCGTTTAGCTCACTTGTACAAAGAGGGAAATTCTGAATATAAAGAGTCAGCTTCTACCCCCGAGTCGCGACACAATTCTTGTGTTTCTCCGAACGTCCGGAAGAGCGATTCGCGCATCCTAGTGTTCATCAGGGGATGCGAATCATGCCTGCACAATTTAGCAATAGTTGCGGAGGTGTGTAGAGACCTTGAGGAGCGAGGCAACTCCGACGAAAACACATTTAAATTCTGTACAAAGATGTTCATCACTTATTCTGAATAACGCGATTAGTGAATAGGTTGGTAATCTATCAAATTCGATAATGTTGTATATGTATTTCGAAGCGTTTCTCGTCTACAATAAACATGACTTTCTCGGATGCCAGGGCTCAGAGCGCTCGCTTCGGAGATGAATTGACGGCGATTGACCTGCTCTCCATGTAGGTCGCCCCCACGCAGAAGGATTGAGGGAGGCTGTTCGAAAGTCGATGTGGGAATTCCCCAACATGAGTGAGTGACGTCGGCATCGACCTCTGGATTTCTTAGTTCCCAGCGGAGTACCGCGGTAGGGCACCAAAAATATACCGATTTCCTCAGAAATACGAGCACACCTCGATTTGAGACTCGATGCTGATTGACTGTGCTGACTCGTATTCTGAATTACCCGGAGCGGAAGGACGAGAGTGAGCCTCATTCGCGGAGCACATTCCGAAGCAGGGACATACTACGTGGAATCGGCATATGATGTCCCGCAGCTGGGATGAGAGGCCTAGGTAGCAAATTCTCAAGGGGAGATGCCGGCTCCCTCTCTCGGTGGTGACCGCCTCACACACTCTTCTCTCTTCGGTAGCCCTCTCCCCTCCTTTGACAATCAAAACACAGCTGAGACCGAGAAGATAAACGAGAAACGATAGCGGATCTCTTCGTTCGTTTAAACCTTCAGTCAGGAATGCACTGAGCAACGAGTTCCAGGTTTGTGGGAGTACATAATCTCAGGACGCTCCTCGTAAATCATGGCTCTGACCGCTATCTACGCTGGCCACAAGGATGGGATACTGGAATAGATCCGATGCCCTTGAAATGCCGTCATGCCTTCATGACGAGAATTTCCGGCATCCAGTTGCTGTTCCGGATACATACGTGGATGCCGGAACATTCATTTTCCTAGGAGCTCGGGCAGCGTAGACCGGGCTCTTGGGGAATCAATGACAGAGATACGGCGGTTACACGTGCATTCTTGACATACGTATTTTCAATCATGTGTCTACCTCACAGATTCCGAATTTACTAAGGGTCACTTCTCACTATTGCAGGATGTTGGTTCTCATGCTCAAAGTGCTTGTCTGGCACGTAATTTTGATTTTTATCCTGGCATGCTACCCATGGAACATCAATTTCGAGCCACAGTCCTTCGATGTCGCTATCCAGGAGCTCGAAGGAGGTCTGAAAGAGAATTTATTGCTCGAGTCCGTGGAAATGTTGCACAAAGGGAAATTTCTAGGGCCTGAGAGCTTGGATATCCATGGAGGAATAATCTACACCGGAGTCTACGGCGGCTATATTTTAGCTATTCAAGGTACTGGCATACAGAAAATCACACGCATAGGCAAAGATTGCAAAGGATTCTACGACCAGGAGACTTGCGGCCGGGTTTTAGGCCTGCGAGTGAATTTCGATGGCACAAAACTACTAGTGGCTGATGCCTACCACGGTATCTATTTGGTCGACACGGAAAACGGAGAAGCCCATCTCATGGTACCGCGCGGCGTTGAAGTCGAGGGGAAAAAACTGCAGCTGATCAACGATCTCGACACCGATAATCGCGGCGTCCTCTATTTTTCGGAATCATCGAACAAGTACCCGCTGTTCAAAATCGTTTGGTCTCTACTCGAGCACGAAACGTCCGGCCGAGTGATGTCGTACGACCCCGTTCAGCGCCGAATGCGCGTCCTCATGGAGAATCTCGCTTGCCCCAACGGAGTCCAGCTCACCCACGACGGAAAGGCGCTCTTGGTCTCCGAGACGGGAAACTTCAGGATTCTCCGATACCATCTGCAGGGAGAGAAACAGGGAACTCACGATGTATTTGCTCAAAACTTACCGGGTGAGCCGGACAACATTCGCAAGTCCACGTCCGGGGGCTACTGGGTGGCGTTTGCGAACGGTCGAGCGCGGCGTACGCTAGGCGATTATGTTTCCAAGTACCCTCTCGTGCGACTCGGAATCATTCGCGTAATGTACGCTATCGGTGAAGGCGTTCGCTTTCTGGCAAAGCTGACCGAAATCGAAAGTTTATACGAATTGGCGGCCTATTTCTCTAATGGTTGGGTTTTATACGATCAAATTCCCAAATACGGATTAGTTGTCGAGCTAGACGCGACGGGAGCAGTGAAGAGGTCGTTCCACTCTCCTTCGGGTAGAATTAACTTTATATCAGAGGTGCTCGAACACGATGGTCATTTGTATCTCGGATCGTTCAAAAACGATTTCATTGGAAAAATCAAACTCGATTGATCTTACGAAATGCGGAGCGAGCAGATCATGTGCAAAATGAAATTGCTCCAGAAGTATCTTCCGCAAAGGCATACACGAGCGCCGTGCACCATGAGACGCTTGCGGAAACCTCTACCGATGGCGGATATTTCTTTTATACGGAAGATCCTCTTCAAAGGCAAGCCGGGTATGAAGAAATCGAAACATCTCCGTTGAGGAACGTCATACCCTGCGATTGGATTCCGAAGGGACCTCGGCCAATATTCGTCTACATACATACTTACATACTTCTTGGATCACGCCGTGTGGTCGTTGTTTGTTGATGATTCAAATGACACGAAAATGCCATTGAGACAAGACGCGAAGCCGAATTTTGGCTCGGATAGATCTTGTCATTTACACCAATGAAATATCTATACCTCTTCGTGACTCTCCAGCATACTTGTATCTACAACTTTGAGATGAATTACCTACTCGTGAAACCGTTCTGTGTCGATTGACGACACCGGGTTGTGCAGATTGTGCCTAAAAGCTGAGCTCTTTCATCATAGGAAGTCGGATATATGACCGTATATCTAAACAAATCAGAATTGACCCAGATAGAATTATTCATAAGATGTTCCCGTTCGCCAAACGAATTCCGCACTACAGGGGATCGGCGAACGCTGCTCTAGAAGTTCTCCAGGACTGATTAAGACACGTTGATGAGGGAAGTTTCCTGAGTTTTCTCCGGGAAGCAGCAAGAGGATATTGATCTTAGGTAATGGGTACACGTCCCAATTTTAGACTGAAGTTCAAGACTCGTTTTCGAAATCGCGTTTCGCGTTTGTTCATCTGAATATCTTGACGCAGATCACAATAGGGAAACAGATTTTGGCTCGGCTTCTTGTCCCACGATTGACTCTGACGTCTGGGGGATAAATCACCCACGATTGGTATATTACTGTGAATCGAAGATTTTCAGAATAAATTTCTACACCATCTGTGTCGACAATCCCTTCTTTTCGGATACGACTTCGAGAATCCACACAGAAAATGCCTGCAGCTAGCTGACTCCATTCTCATGTGCGAGACGAGCAAACGCGGGCTCGGATGGTCCCGCTCACAGGGAGTCCAGATTTCGCACAGCGGAGGATATTTGCTCCAGGATAAGAGCACCGAATCTTCTGACTGGAAACCTATCGCGGAAGCCAGTGCTCCGAATCACTACCTCCCAGCATTCGCGCTCGCGCGCTGAACAAGCAAGAAGCTCGAAGAGCGCGCATCGGCTCCCATCAAGGAGGGATGCTCAGGAAATCCTGTGGATTCTTTTTTCGGCGAAGAGTCGTAACAAATTTTCCCCGACACCGGAATCCACTCTGCTCAATCCCGTCTCAAATCGAGCATGTTCTTCTTTTTCTCCATATGATTTCGAGCCCAGTTGCCAGAGATCGGCAAATCGCCATACTCTCGCTTTCCGTCAAGCAAAACATTGCCCGCGGCCGTCGAATAATTTCGAAAATTGATTCCCGCCAAAACACGGAATCACGAGGAAAGCAAGCTGAGCGATCGAGGGGAGCCCCCGGCGTTTCCCAGACGCGGCTCGGAACTTCCTCCGGGAGATTCGAGTTCGGGACCGGGGCTTGGAGACTTTGCTTCCTTTGGAAAATCACGAAAATAAACAGTCTCATTCGATCCAGTGCTCTCGTCGATCGGCCGCCATTAGGCCTAATCACAGTTCTTCTCTCCCGATCGAAAGGAACGACGAACGCACGCTTCCGATCGAGGGGTCGCGTTGAGTTCCTACCTGAAATCGGTGACGCTTCGTTTCTGGGTAACCGGAAGCGTCGAAAGTGGAAGCACCGGTTTTCGTTTTTGTGTTGTTCAGTCATCAGGAGAGGAGCCTAGAGATCAGCGACTCGAAACAGCTCCAGATCCACACCATCAGATTCAGTCAGGTACGCATTGAGGGCGGGTGACGCCAACAATCGTTCGTTCGCTCGTACAACCATCCACCGGATCGATCCCGGCAGCTCTACGAGAGAAGAAAACCACAGACCAACTGAAAATGTCGAACAGTTATTTCGGTTTTGGCGGTAACCAGTACGGCAACAATACCGGTTACGGCGCCGCTTCTCCTCCGACCGGCTACGGGAATCCGAACCAACAACAGTATCAGCAGCAACAGATGCAGTCTCAGAGACAGTATCCCGGCTACGATCAATCCTATCAGCAACAATATCCGCAACAGAACCAACGGTACGAGACGCCGAAGCCGCAAGCTTCGTCGTACTATCAACAGGGTTTCGGTCACCAAGCGGAGTCGTCGCATTACTCCCAGCAGGCTCCGCTGGCCGGCAAGTCTTATCAGTCTTCGCTCTCGAGCTACAACACCCTCCGAACGGTGACCCCATCGTCGAACTCGGCTCCGGCCCCAACGCCGAAGAACTACTCGGTCTACTCGTCGCAAGGTTCGCCGTACGGCTCGTCGGCGTATCAGGCATCGGCCTCGTCGCATCCGAACAACAAGCCCGTGGCCAGCGCTGCCGCGAATACGTGGACGGCAGCGACGATATACTCGGCGAACTTGCCGCCGCAAGCCGTCGGGGGCGGTGGACTGGGTCGGAAGTCCAATATGGGTGGAGTGAAGACCCGACCCAAGTTGCCCCCGAAGCCCCAGCAGCTGCACTATTGCGAGGTCTGCAAGATCAGTTGTGCTGGACCTCAGACCTACAAGGAGCACCTCGAGGGTCAGAAACACAAGAAGAAAGAAGCTGCGGCTAAAAGTGCCGCCGCCTCCTCGTCCGGCACCGCGAGTGCCACCGCAACGACGACGGGTGCCGCGAGCACGGCTCAAGCCGAGCCCACTCCAGGGACCAGCTCGTCGGGAGGTTCCAAGGCCGGCACTGCTGGACGTCCCGCCTCCCACGGTACGTCCCTACGCTGTGAGCTGTGCGATGTGACGTGCACCGGAGCTGACGCCTACGCTGCCCACATTCGAGGTGCCAAGCACCAGAAGGTTGTCAAGCTGCACACGAAACTGGGCAAGCCGATTCCGTCGACGGACCCCGTCATACTGTCCGGAACGAGAGTCGCTCGAAAGGAAGGCGAGGACGGCGGCGAGGAGAAGAAACTCACCCTCCAAGACATCGTCGACCAGGACGTCCAACCGGTCGGGCAGGAATACATCGAAGAGCTCCGGAACACCGAGGGCAAAGTGATTTCGTTCCAGTGCAAGCTGTGCGACTGCAAGTTCAGTGACCCGAATGCCAAAGAAATGCACATGAAAGGCCGTCGTCACAGGCTACAGTACAAGAAAAAGGTCAATCCGGAACTGGTCGTCGATATCAAGCCATCCATGAGGAGAGGGTTGCCTGGAAGACATTTCCGCGACAGGGAGGACGCAGAGTGGAACTTCAACGGGCCTCACGATATGCTGTTCGCGCCGTGGTCGCGACCTCGACTTCCACCGCCTCCCCCGCGATCCCTCATGCTTATGATGGGCCCCCCTTTCCGGAGGCCGGATACCCCTGACGACCGTCACATTCTCACAAAGCACACCGAGATCTATCCACCCGACGATGAGTTGGCTCGGATACAGACTCTGGTGGCTTACACAGAGAAAGCCCTCAAGGGCGTCAGTGACAAGCTGGCTGGCTCGGAAGAGGCTGAAAAAACCAAAGACGAAACCGTCGACGCCGAAAGAAAGGAAGCCAGCGACGCCGATAGCGGTGACCTGCCGCCTCGTCAGCTGCGAGGTGTCATGAGAGTGGGATTCTTGGCTAAGGGCCTGTTGCTCTCGGGCGACACCGAGGTCGGCCTCGTTGTCCTCTCGGGCGACAAGCCCACCAAGAGTCTTCTGCTCAAGGTCGCCGAATTGCTACCCGAGCAGCTGGAGCGCGCCGCCGCCAGCGATAAGGCGTCCGGCGAGCCCGGTCACGATAACAAATTCACCGTGACACCCGACATTGATGAAGCGTCGATTTTCGTACGTACTGTGACCGCTGATCCGCAATTAACCGTGAAAGTTACGTTGACGTCACCTGTGATGCGCGATTCGGATGTCAAGGATAGTGGTAGTAAGGATGACGACACCGCCGCAGAGTCTAAAGCCGAAGCGGCTGACGTTCTGAACAAAGAACGGTGTTTAGCCGCCCTCGCCGACCTCCGCCACGCCAAGTGGTTCCAAGCGCGAGCGAGCAGCCTCCAGTCGTGCGTGATGTTGGTGCGCATTTTCCGCGACCTCTGCCGTCGAGTTCCGACCTGGCACGCGATGGACATGTGGCCGCTCGAGTTGCTCATTGAGAAAGTTCTCGTTTCCGCCGATATGCCCTTACAGCCCGGTGATGCTCTGCGTCGGGTTCTGGAAGCGATCGCCTACGGGATCATGTTGCCGGGCTCCAGTCCTGGGCTCCACGATCCTTGCGAAAAAGCTCCGACCGACGCTCTAGCTCACCTTTCGAATCAGAACCGTGAGGATATGACAGCCAGTGCTCAACACGCGTTGCGATTGATCGCATTCCGACAAATTCACAAGGTGCTCGGCATGGAACCCCTCCCGACGCCGAAATTCAAAACGAACTTCAATAGAAAACGTCGTTTGGACAATAGCAGTGAATCCGGCGAAGCAGACGGTAAGAAAGACAAGAAAGAGGAGGCAATCAAGAAGGATCTCGAGGTCAAGGGCGGCTCTAAAGTTGAAGTTGAGACTGTTGAGTGTGCTCCCGTCACGGACAATGCGACAACTTCTCCAGTGAACAATTGAGGATTGGTTTCTCGTGCGAAAACCCATGTACATACTTCAATCAGACACACAAGCAAGCAGCAAGCAAACTCGCTCGTTCACTGAATAGCTAATCTGAAAGAGACGTTCCCTTTTACTTTCATGAGCTTGGAGGCATGGGGACGTTGGGAAGTGTTTTGCGTCGAAGGGAATCCACGACGGACGAGTTCTCGTGGTCTTCCGCCGCTCGCACGGCCGCGCTTGCCTCTCCTCTGAGCTGGTGTGTTGATCACAAACGATTGGTTCACCTGATACCTACTTTTTTTAACGTTTGCTGTGACCGGTGGAACTCTCGATCGATCGAATGCTCGTCAGGCTTCACGAGTCGACATCTCGCGCCCCAGAAATAATTCTCTATTGATGATAATATTAATCTATCTATGATGAACATTATAAAGCCTACTGTATTATTAAGACCCATTGAAATAGGTAGACGAGACGCTGTCGTGCAAACCAGTGCCGAGAAGATGGTATTTGCGGTGTTGTGTACCTAACGGTTGCCTGATTTGTTCCGAGGAGAATTTCGTGGGACAACCGCGGGGCTGGAAAGTCAGAAGGCCCTCGCGCTCCATCAAACCTAGATCATTATTTCGGCCGATCCTAGATAGATTTGTAGGCGTTAAATTTTACGAAGGTTTCCAATCGATTCACGGAGCATATAAACTAATAAAACGCGGTAGTCTGTCAGTTGATACCTCCGATGTCTTTCTTCAGTATGTTCCACTTCGATGGTCGCGGGCAGGGTCAATCGTGTGCCTGGAGAGCGTTGAAGTCGAGCTAGCCTGAAGAAAATGAGCTAGAAAGCGAGCCTTGTTCCGTCCCTATCCATCGAGGCATCAGCTAACAGAGACCAGTCCAGCCGTAGAGACAATTAAAACGGGGAAAATGTCGATCTTGCCCAGAAGCGGTGTAAACGACGGACACTGATCCTGATACCATCCGTATCCAGGAGCAGTTTCTGTCGGCGATTTACATAATCTGATGTGAGCATCCTTGGCACGGCCTTGCTTTCGAGAAGAGATGTATGATGGTCGTCGTCGTTCTCATCCTTCCTACTCGAAATCATCCCCCTCTCCGATCGTTTGGGTTTTCTCTTCGCAGTTCATCAAAGCGATGGGAGGCTAGCCCGACTGTCATCGCACCTGATTCTGAACTCTAAGGCGCACAATTGACTCTGCGGGGAATCGGGTTAGGAGAATATTTCGCTTTGAATTTCGTAGATTTCCATCGTTCAACTTTTTAAGTCGGTCGGAGTTCCTTCTTGTCGACGCACGTTTGGAAATTATCGGTAGCCGTTAGGCTCATCTCAAGACGAGATACATACTCTCAGATGGAAGGCCTTGCCAAGGAAAGTAGGAGACGTAGCCTTAGCTCCACGAGGTAAGTCTTCTCTCATTTAACGATCACAGGACAATGGGACGAAAGAGAGCGAATAGTTTAATAATACTCTGTGGTGTCCTGCAAAGCTCGACGGAGACCTGGATGGAGCGCATCGTGCACGGTTAGGTACTCAGCCATCCTCGCCATTATCTTCTCCATCATCGTCATCATCATGAACCCTCCTATATCACCGATGTTTGCGCATAAAACACCTGAGTTGGGAACCTCAACCATTTCCATATGATTTAGTTTGGGAATGATTGACCGGATTTTTTCTCCATTTTCAATGAATATATGCGCTCGCACTGTCTTACAACAGTATCCATTCGGAGGAGTGTGAGCGACAGGACTCTAACCTCTCTTTCCGACCTCGCTCGCAGGCTGCCAGTGAGTCGCGATGGCTGAAACAGAAGAAACCGGCATGTCGTTCGCAGAACGCATGATGAAGAATATGGGCTGGTCGCAGGGTAAAGGTCTCGGCAAGCAGGAAGAAGGCATGAAAGACTTCATAAAACCGAAGATGAAGTTCAACACCAAAGGAATCGGATTCATGGGCGTCGACAACAAATGGGTTGCTCATCAAGAGCACTACGACGATCTTCTGACGTCTCTCAACAAGGGAGAAAAACCTGCCGAGAAAAAAGACATCGCTTGTTTGACCTCTTCTTCGAAGCTCCGAGGCCGCACAAAATTGTGAGTCTGATAGAATCGTTGAAGCTTCAGTCCCGTCTGATCGAAACGATTATTCAAGACTCCACATGTACTCAACACATGGATTTAATCGTGATTATTCTCTTCAGTTACGGGAAAATGATGCGCGGGAAGGATCTCTCAAATCGGAGCTCTCAGGACCTCAGTGCAATAATCGTGTCGAAGAGGGAGGAATGTGAGAAGGCCGAGACGGCGCCTCTGGCCTCAGAGCTCAACGGAACTCTCAACGCCTCTCAGGTCTCTATGACCGACTACTTCGCTAAGATCATGGCGCAACGGAAACCAACACCCAACGAGGAGAAGGACGGCATGGTGCGGAAAAGTCCGGGGAATCGGGCTTGTAGTGAGGAACCCAAGGATGAAGAAGTCTCAGCCGTCCAAAAGAAGAAAAAGGATTCTAAGAAGAAGCGATCCAGAGATTCTCGGGATTCGAGTGCATCTATCGAGCCGGAGCCCGCACTCACGGAGTCGAACGACACGAAGAAAAAGAGACGGAAAAGTGAGAAGACAGGGTCGGTCGAAGGCAGAGCAGCCTCGAGTGGATCGATTTCCGAAGAAAACTCAATCGAAGGCGACGAAGAGCGGAAGAGCGCGGATAATCCACCGGAGGGGCAGGAGAAGAAGAAGAAGAAGCGCACCATCGACCCGGATGATAGAGAGGAGAGCCAATCAGTCAAAAAGACTAAGAAATCGAAACCTGTTGACTGTGAAGGGACTCTGGAGCAGGAAACGCCAGTTGACGCACACAACTACGAAGAGCCGATGAAGCGGAAGAAGAAGAAAAAGGAGAAAGGCACCGCGGATGCGTGTGACGAGCTTGCCGGAAACGAGGGAGTCACTGAACATGTGGGCCTCGCCGATAGGGAGGCCAACATAGCTACGAAGACGAAGAGCAAAAAATCGAAAGATAGCACCCCACAAGAAGATTCCGACATTCCCGACGAGGGCTCGCGCCTCAACGTCGACGTCAAGCTCCTGAAGAAAATTCGAGGGTCCAAACTCGCCAAGAGCAAGGTCAGTTAGCGCGTCTCCAGCATCGTAACCGTCAGAGGAACGTTCTCACGGAGTTTTCTGAGCCTTTCTCTTCCTCGATGAATTACGGATCTGATTGTATTCAACTCTCGATCCTTCCGCCCCTAATCCTCCGCCCATCATACCTTTTCAGGCTGCGCCTACAAGTGACCTAACCGATGAGCAGATACTCCAAATCTATGAGATGTGGACCTCCGGGAAATACGCGAAATTCATGAGTATGGTTCACTCCGGAGAGCTGCCGCGATGGGTGGCTGTTGAAGAGGCGCAGGTGAACCGGATGATTTCGGGCCGAACTAAACTCATCGACCTGTCGGATGTGCGCGAAGTTGTACAAACAAGATGGAAGAATGCGAATGTCGATGAGATTTGGGGCTACACCAATTTGGCGTATCTTGCCGTCTGAGATAGCATTTTTGTATCAGGGCTCATTTGCATAAATTCTCACCCTAAAGATAATTTAATAAAGTTCAACTTTTGCGGTGCTCAAGCAATCGTTCCCTGATTTTCTCTCTGAGTTCGTGAGAGGGTCGACCTGAGCGTGGGGGGACGAAGAATCTTTTAGAAATTCAAGACGGCTGGCCGACACCCTTCAAAAAAGAGTTGGAAACACCATCTAGCAAATGTACACACTTTATTCGATGATATCACCAAGAATACTATTAAGTACATGGTCTTACAGAAACCTACGACGGGATTAAGGAGCTCAAACACCCCGGAAATTACCCAGGGCTCCTCAGAATGTTGGCACTCTTCAGGCTGAACCACCATGGAAGACTGAGTGGGATCGCACGGCAGACGCATCCTGAGCTGGGAGAGCCCAAGCTCAGGCGTCGCACCGACTTTGAGTGGCGATCCTTGGCGAAAAATCTCGGTGGCTCAGCTTGTCACTACGATGCGAGCCGTGGTACGATACACAAACAGTTGGCTCATTCAATTTACAACCAGAATTGATTTCGCTCACCCGGAGCTTCAAATCTCAATCGTTTCTTTCCTCCCACTCCGAAAATGCTCCCTCAGTGAATTGATCGGACACTCGTTAAAAGTAAACACAGGCATGTGCTTGTCGGAATGGATATTACATGCCTCAAACCCTGAGAATCAACAACATAAAGCTATGGGCACTATTCTGAAGTCAACAGGGCAGACTAACAGGAAATTGGGAATGTTTTCAGAGGTGAGAGCGTGATTACGAGTCTCTACTCGATGCAACGTAGTGCGCTGTCTTCAGTGTGAAACATATCGTAGCATTTGCTGCAGGTTCTGATGCCGCAGACGCCGTTATTTTCGCAGAAACGAAGTGCGCACGGATACCAGAGGACGCAGGAGGTTAGCCGACAGCTGCAGGGTGCCCAGGGAGCCGGATTGCTTGAGCAGAGGACTTGCTGCATCGGGTTCAGCAGAACTTTTGTCGTTTGCAATCGAGCGATTCTACTATCGCCGAAAATATTCATCCAGGACTGTTACCAATAGAAGATGTCAATTAGAACCCATACCGAAATAAGCATCGAAAACTTGTCGGTATCTCATCCGCGGCGCGATACTGACCTGCAAATCTTTTTGGCGGGTGTGAACCACGTTCGTGCTCACACAGAGCTCAGCCAGATGAGCTGAGAGTTCCCGAGCGCTTCCGGCGGCGAGTTTCGTGTCAAAATACATCTCTTCACGACCTTTGTCCATCTCAGCAGTTCTCACGGCATGAGCATTACGTTGTCTTAGTTTATACATTGCGTTGACAGGAACCATAGAGTCTCTGCAAAGTCAATGAAAGCGTCAGCGCTCACATCCGTGGTATGTATCGTGATCGCGCGCCAATCGTTGGGAATAAGGTCGTATTCTCCCATCAAGCTCACCTGTCGAAATACACAGCGTAGCAAACTGTGCGCGTAACTCCTGGCTGATTCAACTCTTCCTCACCGGAGACTAGGAATTTCACAATTTGAACACTGTTCGCGTAGTCGTACCTGAAAGCGAATGTATCCATCCAGAAAGGGAATCACCGAGGACCATCCCGACAGTCGGGCTGAAGAAAGTTATGAATGAGCAAAACACGGAGCACGGCACTCACCAAACAGTCACTTCTGAAGCATCACGTCTTTCGAATGATATCACTATGTTTTGGCCAAACGTTGTAACATTCTCGCAGAGAATCTATAAGGAACAGAATTCCAAAATTGATAGGAGTCCATATCCCTGTCGAGAGTGGGAAGCACTCGGAGCAGGTTGTCGCGCGCGCCGCGGAGACCGCGACGAGAAGGGTCTCTCGCAATTCTACCTCCTTCGGAGGAATCTAAGAACATTCTATTCTCCATAGGAAAAACCGAGGCTCCATTCGAGCTGCGATTCATCCTGAAGACTTTTCGCTCGTGGATGCCCTCTGCGGTGAGCTTCAGCCCCAGAGGTGGACCCTGTCATCTGCGCAGGAAGACAGCGTCTCCGAATCTCATGTGGGACAGCTCCAAAATAAGCCGCGACAAGATGCAACTTACCTCACCACCGGGATTCTCGACGAAAATTGTCAATTCCGAGGCTGAAGTCCTCCTTCCGCAGCAAGCAAAGGCGCAAAGCATACACCACCAGAGAACTCCAGAACGTCCCGCCATCGTCTGGAGTCCTCATATTCCAACCAACTCTTCGCAGATCCGCTCGGCCAAGCCCAGCTGCTCGATGGCTACGTCTATCTCCTTCTCTCCGTTGATGTTATTATATTTACGTCCGTGTGAATTTCCGTCTGCTCCGATGAATTTCCCTCGATGTCTCTCCAGTGAGGCAAATGCTCAGAGATACTAGACACAGACTGATGTCCCAGCGTGTTTCGATGCAGTGAGGGGCTCGAGACTTTCCACACGGGAAGCGTGCTATCCGCGCATCCCGGTTCTCATGATCGCAGCTGAGTGAACATAAGAGAGCCTACTCGATAAACCCGGGAAAATCGCTTTCTAAGGTCCCATCATGCCCTTCATGTACGGACCGCAGCCTGTAAGGCGTACCGTGAAGTTTCTGGAGCAGGGCAGGCTCATATTCCTTGAACGAGTGAGAATCATGTCGTTGAATTTCAACACCATGGGTTTACGCCGGGAGGCTCACAAGGGAATGGAGGTAGGTTCAAGCCATCGATCGCGGGCATTCCACCCCAGAATGCGATCCCAGACCTCTCTCTCGATGAGGGAGGCCTCCGTCGGAGCAGTGGTGCTCGCGATCTCCCTCGGTTGTATTCCCGCGATTTCCACCGTGGGATATCGTTACCCAATCTGAATATATACAAAAATATAATGTAATGAGGTGGCGGAATCTATCTGCAATATTCTTGCTCGGACTTGATTCGATGCTCGACTCTCGAGTTCATCGGAAGTCCAAAGGAGCATTCCTCCTTCTTAAGTCGGAATCTCGCCTCGATTCGGACAGTGATCTCAAGTAACAATCCTGGGATGAGTACACTGCTTGGGTCTGACCTACTGAGCTACACTTCTCCGTGGTCACAGGATTTCGTGTTTTGGGATCTACCACGCATCATATACAAGAACCCCGAGGTTCAGGTGACATTATTCAAGAATATGACCCCGTCACCGTTCATACGATTTTGGCTCGACGGCGGAAGACAGGTGAGCTCTCAACTTCGCAGGCGCGAGTCCCCTGTGATTGCGGTAACAGAGGGAGCTGCTTGGTAGCGGAAATATCTCTCGGATGGAAGGGACAATTCATCTGTCCGTAGAATGAATAATTGATGCGCTCGAAACGTGTTTCAGGTCATCATGGACACAGACAGCAAAACTAACACAGAGATCTTGAACCAAATTATCAAGACTCTCGGTGAGTACTTTCGAACTCCTGGTCAGAGACTCTCAGATACCCTAAGAGAAGAACAGGAACATTGAGGAATAATTTCATCTGGTCTCCTCTTCTTCTACGAGTCTTACCGAAATCTGGGACTACGGTCTCGCTGATCCGATCCACGAATTCCAGGCAAGACCGAGGAGAAACTGGCCCAGGAAGCTTTTATGCGTGAGCAGAAGGAAACTCAGGCCAATTTCGGGCGAAATTTCCCCAAGTGGTGCATCTGCGAGGTAGAAAGTCAAGTTCCGTGTCCGCGAATCGTCGAATTGCCGAAGAAAATGAGAGGGAAGTATATCGTGCAAGAGATAGCCTCCAAGGAATGATCGCGCCGAAGCAGAGCCATGGGAAGATTCTAGAAGGTGTAAATAAACTTTCCTCATCCGGAGCCTGCTCTCCTGAGAACTTTGGATAGAACGGATCGTCTTATTTTGAACTCAGCCTCCAGGCTAGCGGAGCATATCTTTGTGGGAAGTCGAAACACACCTTATGCAGGCGGGCCGCTCATACATATTTATATGAGAGATACGTGGCCCATATTTCCAAAGGACCATCTGTCGAAGAATTCGCTCTCTAGGGGCCATGCGGAGCATTTTCATCTTGGAACGATTCTTCCTGATCCCGAATTTTCGCGAAGCGTTCCAGGCGCGTCTTGAGCGAGGGCTTGGGGCGCGAGCAAGGCGAACGTCATTCTCGAACATTTCGTCTGCGATAAATGTTTTTCATCCCCGCGTGAGAGAAGCTCGCATATGAGAAACTTTCCTGGACTCCCCGAGGAGTCCCTCATGAGCAGGCGCGACTGTATGCTCCCTCAAGATCTCTACATGCATCGATTTCAATATTGCGCGCTTGCATCAATCTCTGTCTGACCGAGCTAGGATCGCGGAAAAAAAAGAAAGGAGAAATGTTCTTTCAGATGGAATTTATATGGTTCTCACAAGAATTGAGTTTTATACATTGAAGGTGTAACAGGAGGAAGGAATTTAAAAGCCATCGGAGTGATCTGAGCATTTTCCTCTCATAGATCGTCTCATCCCAAGCTTGGATACAGCGCCGCTTGACCTTGAGCTTGAGCTGGTTGCTGACCGTTTTGAATTGGCGATACCTGGTTTGAAGAAAGATCTTCAGGATATATAGAGACCAGCAGGGAGACACAAACAATTCCGGCGGAAGAATTCTCATCGTTGAAAATCACTGAGTCTCGGGGTTCGGAACGGCTGTGCCTACCTGAATTCTGAAGATGATGGTGTCATTGACCATGAACCTTGGTCCCTCGAGGTCTTCGAAAGAGATGAACTCATGCCATATGTACGGCACGACATAATCGCTTTTGGGTCTATTGATACTGGGGTCTCCGAGCCTGTACTCCACATTTTCCGGACATTTGCTGCTCTGATCGATCAACGTGACCGTGATGGGATTGTGGATAGGGAAGGGTAGCGATGCATCAAACTGTCCCTTGAGCAAAACAATTCCGACCCCCAGATACTTTCCGCGGCCCGCACTGCCGATCCCGTTAAGATGCAGACGAAGTTTGAAATGGTATCCTGGATTTCCGGCGTAAAAAGAGGGAGAGCTCGTGTATTTCTTCGGGGAGTGCCTTTCCCTGAAAAACGGAGGTCATTCATTTCGATGGTACAAAATAATGGGGGCGGCTTTCGGAGCCCTACTCATTCGTAACGCAAGCTCTCGAGCTTACTTGAATTTCGCTCTTGAAAACTGCGACAGTTTCCACTGGAAAATCCCATCCGGACAAATGAGCTCCTGAGCTCCTCGCGAGGTTGATGTCGCTCCGAGTGAGGGTAAGTGATGCTCACTGCCAAATGTCGTGATCGACATGGGACCGAGTTGCAGAGAGAATGTCTGTTTGGAGTTTATGGAGTTAGAATCGCTCGTTCTCTCGGTCTGCGAAGCAACACGGGTCGTGCTCCTCCGGTCGCTACTGCTGCTTGAAATGCCGAGAAGGGAGCGGGATTGAGGGCGGGCAAGACCCGCTCCGAGTTAACTATGTAAATACGGACCGGCTGAGCAGCAGGCGGCGGCGCCATCACGTCGGGCAGAGATGAAGATCTCGTCTGTTCGCGCCTTTCTGTCTGCATTTCTTCCAGACGGCCCTCGAGAAGCGCAATGCGATTTGTGAGGTCACGTTGATTCTGTGTGGCCTCAACGAGCGACGCCAACGCTTCGTTGACCTGGTTGCGCAAAACGTCCACATGGTTCAGTTCCTGGACCTTCAGGCTGATCATGCCCCGATGGAGTTTCAAATCAGTCTCGTGCGCCGTCAGCTCTTCCTCGTTGTTCGCTTCGTAGGTGCAGCCCATTCCTCGTAGAAAGCATCTGTCGCGACGAACGGGACAGACGTTTAGAGGGAATTTTCGGGGAATATTTTCATTGTGGAGCTCGGCTCTGAATAGAACTCCTCACCTTTTAATGGCCAACTTGTCCTGAAGCTTGTCACAATACTGTAGGTGGACAGGAAGCGTACAGAGTCGAATAGTTTCGCCGCACTCGTGAGGACACAGAGAGCGCAGCGGAAACGCTAACTCTTGGATCGATGAATCTTGGAACACCTGCACAGCGAATGAGAGTAACGTGAGACTCGACGATGGTTACCGACGAGGGCCTCGAGCTGGCGACGCTTCTCGATTTCCTCCGTGCCAGCGAGCACGAAAGCAATGTGAGCTGGGCAATCGCGAAATCTATTTTCCGCCTAGCGGTTCAAAATAAGACGTGGAGAATTTTCCGGATTGACCTTGTCTCCCAGCCGGATGCTCACTTGAGTCATTGTCAACGTCAGCCCGCCGGCTGAGATACACAGAGAAGCGACCAGAAACGCCGGGCACTACAGTCCCCAAATCCCTGCCCTTCTGACTTCTTCCGTAGAGACTCACCGTCATTCGCGAGATGGATTGCTGGTCGATGGGACAAATCGTTTTGTCTGCTTCGGAGGGCATAGTGCGCTCGAAGCACGGAGCGCAGAAGCCGTGTCCACAGGGAAACCTTCAGAAGGAGAGCAAATTGCATTAAGGCTCAGAAACGTTTGTTCGGGTACGAATGTGATTATCACTTGCTCGATTCCGTACAAACCTCCACAGAGAAGGACCCAGGCACGAACACTGAGCGCAGAGAATACTCGCGGGCGGCATGTCTATGAAGGGCATTTCGGTGTCTTCCGGAATCCCGGAAAGTGCGACGAGCCGAATCTTAACGTTGGAACCCGAAGCTGCAATCAAATTGAGTGAGTGATTTCTGATCGAGATTGGCGCTTATTGTCAGATCGAAAAAGTTGCGGGTCGTGCGATGATAGTTCCCGAATGCGAGAGCGTCTCGAGTGGAACAAGACACAGATGAAGTGCTTCTGCAGACGAATCCGTTCCGACTGGAGAATTCGAACGGAATTGAATGGTGTTCCCCGCGGATTGAATTGTTTCCCATCGGATACTTCCGTAGGGATAGAAGTGAATCAAAAAAATTTTTCGCTGACAATGTCGTCCTCCAAAGTTATTCGGTCGAGAACTCCACCGACTCGGCGATGCTCAAAAGCATGACGCCTGCTCCGCGGGGTTATTTCGCTCACTCCTACCGAATCAAACAAAATCTCGGCCACTGCTCCAATCGGAAGCGAGAGAAAAACTCGCAGCTATTTCACGCCGGAAATTTCGTCACACTACAGTGGAACAGCTGTTAGAAGAAGAGAACTTCCAATCAACGCTTCGACATCGACCGCTTGGAGCTGGAAGCAGCGACGCCGTGCTTTGCGTGGAGCGTAAGAAACCTCGAAATTCGCTTGAGAGAACTCACCATCTGCACCGGTTGCTTCAGACGGGGACGAATTCATTGGAGGGTCCGATTCCATGCTTGGGTCGGATCGTCAACAACTAGCAGGCAACAGGTGAACGCTGCAGACTTACACGATCTTGGGAGCTTCGTTGGGCCGAGTAAGAGAAATGGGAGAGAAGAAACTGCTTAACACACGTTTCAGTCTTATGATGGCTGCCGGCGGTCCGTGTCTCCCCGTCTGCCCGCCCGCCCAACCGACCGGCCGACCGACTCTCAGACCGGCTACCTGGCGGACAGCGTGAGTCATCGACGACATCTGAACGAGTCTTAGGAAACAACTTACTGCAGAAATGCGAGAAAAGTCCTTCATCGGCTCCGGCCAAGTCCGCGCTTGAGAACCAGAATGAGAAGCGGGCGAACCACAACCCGACCGCCGAAAACCTCGATGCCGGGCTTAAATGATAGCCTCGAGATTCGAATTGAGGATCTAGAGAGCGGCTCGGAAATGGTTAGATGAATAAGCCGGGAGGTCCGGAGCGGCATCATATTCCGAGAGAGTGCGACCCACAAATCTCTCGGAGTTGCCTGCTCATTCTATCGCGAGTGAACAAAGGGGGACGCTCTGCAAACAGAACTCTCGGGATCCGCCTTCGGAAGAGTGCCCAGGTGGAGAGCACCGGGAAACCCCCTGGAATATCTCTCGCGGAATTCATAGGGAATCTCGCGGCAATATTCAATATTCATAGATAATGCTCAGACAGAGCTCATTGCTCATTCGTCATTCGAATTAGTCGCATGCTTCTGGAACAAGAAGATAGACAGCGGAATTACATCGAAAGAGTCGGATTCCAATGCCGGGTGAGTCATCTTAGCAACAAGGCTGTCTGAGCTGGCTTTCGTCGGGAGCTGGTTGCGGAACAGTCGCAGGGATACAAGCAGATTGCAAGCCGCTTCTGTATGCTTGCCGATGTAACTGCGAAAGTTCTAATCCCGTAAATACTATGGTAGGACGAGTTCCCGCTCTCGGGGAATAGGATAATTCTAGAGAGATCATATTGAACGGAACAAGGAGCTTATTCGAGACTTTATTCGAGGAAAGACACAAAGTTATTCCGCATTCGATGAACTCGCCCACCCGTTAGCGAACGACCCCATGGTATAAATGACCCGAAGACCTGAGCTCTAGAGGTTGCAGAAACTAACATCGTTTCCGGACTTCGAGATCGGAAGTCAGAGGTTTTACTGCCTTCTCTGTATTTTCTCCGATCAACTCGTCACTACCGACGAACACTTTTCGAGGTCGACGCAGGACGCTTCGAGTTCTGTGCAACTAGATCGCTCGGGATCAGCGTGCAATAATTCATCCGAGCCGTGCTTTCTCCATCGCCCAGGTGGAGAGAGCATTCATCTCCAGGTCTGGAACTCCCTTGTTTGTTATCGGTGACAGATATGTCTGACAATGATCGTGACGAAGTCTTTCGCTCTCAGCTAGATCGGATGTGCAACCTTGGAGCCCTTCAGTTCGGGGCCTATGCCTGGACCCTGTAGAGCTCCGAAGCGTCCCGAATCTGTACATATTCCCTTGCTATTCAGAACCGTACATGTGGTAGTCGGCCCTTCGAATGAGGCACTCGAGGCTCTCCGATGGTTCCGGTCCAAGAACTCGGACTACCGAACCGGATTCAGCGCGATCGATCTGCCAGAGAGAAATCGGAGAGGTTCCAAATCCAAACTTTTTGTTTGTATGATTCGGAAATGGAATCAGGATCTAGAGGTGGCATGAGGTGCTCCTTGTAGACTTTCGCAGTATCGAATCCCAGATGAGATATCGCGCTCCAGTTCACCAGTCCAATCCTGCCAGAAATGCGAACAATTATTCCCCATGCCACACTTTGAGTAATAATTGAGCGTAACAAATCACGTATCATCATTACATGGTGGGGTAGATCAAGTACCGTACCTGTGCCCCAGAACATTGTTCAGGAACTCGATGTACGATTTTCGCAGATAATGGGGTTTCAAGATGCCCTGGAAATCAGGAATGCTGAAATAGTTTGAGCCTTTGGGGGTGCCCGATGAGGAGGCCGTGGAAAAACTGGGCAACTCACTAGCGTCGCGAGTATTCCGCACAGGTGTCCGAAGAGTAGCCTCGATCCAAGAGCCGAAGAGGGTGTACCTTTCGTCTTCGCAGCGTGCACGTAGGCGTCCTATTCAATGAAGAATGGTGTTGGAGAATGCCTCGGTCAGAATATTTCAAGAATAGCGAGAAGTAGAGGAGCCCAGCGAACCCAGCGACTCCCTCCCCCGTTCCAAAACGAATTGAATAGAGCGAGTGTTAGAAAGAGTGAATTCCACGAATGTCTGGAGATCCATGCTCACCTGGAGCATATTTGAAAAAGCGTAGATAGCCACCCTTTGTGAAGGCCAGAAATAGTTCGCGACGCAGGCCGCCGTCACGGAGGCCGGTATACAGTGCCAGGCTGAATCTTTGTCCTCGTATCGCCGCAGCCCGCAGGAAATCGCCTGTTGATGATATTTGCTGAAGTCAGAATTTCGGGTTGTTTCTTAGCGTCTCCGCGCCGGGGCCATCTCGGACAGGAATGCATAATATATCCTCAGTCAGTATCGCTAGTTCGACTTGCAAACGACGGAGTGCTAATAATTCAATTTGCCCGATGGCTGAATAGCTGAGCTTTCTGTATTGCCGGTAGGTGCTCCCTATATCCGCACTTTAGCCTAGTAGCGCTTGATTTCGCCCTCAGTTTCGATTATAGCTTAGAACTCACATTATAACAAGCACTGAATCCCGCTAGGCCCATTCCGAACGCCATCGCCTGGCCGGAACTTGTTGTCGCTATTTTTTGTAGCGTGTTCGCAACACCGAATTTCCACATCCGTGGCGCAGAGGTGGCGAATCGTAACGTGAGCGAACCGAGAGTTCCAACTGCTCCGATGGTCAGCGCTCTCTGTATGATAGGACGCTTTCAGAATTGCTTAGTTAGTATGTCGGCTAATCCCGACGCGCTCCGATCTGGAGCGACTGTCCGGGGTGGAACACAGAGAGCGGGCTGAATATTCCGTATGGCTGTTTCCACCCGGATACTCATCTGACTTGCCTTTATCGCGAGCTCTGTACAGGAGTCGGGGTGAGAACACAGGTGGCTCCGGCCATCAGGAGGTTCCGCTGACGCATCGCGTTGCTTCGCTGCGCGCTCCCCCACTATGTAACTGTTTGCGTGAGGATTAAAAACGATTGAAATAGCGCTAGATGCATCGCGAGCTGACTAAGGAGCCAGAAAAACAAAAGCAAGGGAAATAGCAAAAGCCCCCTGGGCTCTGATGCGGCGCAGCGGTGGTTCAAGAACGACGGCGAATGCGAACGGGAGCTAGCCTTGTCAAGTAGTGAAGGGGTTGTCCGGGGTCACATTCGGAACTCCCAGATTCGGGTTCAGATGTCAGCGCTTCGGACCGCATCAAGCTAGTTTGCATCAAGCGGAGTTAAGTGGTGTAGCCGTCACCGTGAGCTTCGTGGCGTGGGGAATTTTTCCCGTGAACTCACCGCAACCAACTCGATAAGTTCGTTTTCTCCACCCCACTCGTTCGAGCGAGATGCATGTGGATAGCCACGCTCATTCCAAGAAGCAGACTCTGCGAACAGAATTCGTCATCATTATATTCCGAAAAAACGACACAATGATTCAGTTCCGCATGCTCGAAGAGAACGGCACTCCGGAGCGTGCGGCATTCATGAACGTCTCACTCACATTTCCCAGAGGATGGCCCTTGAAGCCGTAGTCTGCGAGCAAGGTCGCCATCATTTCGAAAAGCTGAAATTGTCACCAGAACCATCAGGAGATAAAATCGTGACTTTTCCGAGTAGGATGCCATGGATTTCTGTTTACTTGGACCTACCAGCTGCAAGATGTAGACATTGTAGAGACGCACCCTCGAATCTCTCTCGAGGAGAATTGCGGTGAAACACGATACGGAACTGCCCGCGTACAAAACCCACGGAGAGAAGAATCCCAGCCAACTCCTGCGATGAATGAAGTATTTGACGAATTTATTTTCTTCGAAAAGCGGCTCCAAGCCATGTTGTTCGCTCCGACGTCGTAGTCCATCAGCCTCTTCTGCCGTCTCCTCGGAAGACTAGTGGCCTGCAAGCGAAGGCTAGCTTCCCCACTTTTATAGAATAGTCTGCCTGGGCAAGGGAGACGGTGGCGCCCGAATGCCGAGATCGCCATCGGAGCTCATGACCTTAGAAATACAGAGTACTCGCAGATCTGATTTCGCCGCTGCTCGCAAGAAATGTGGGCGGGTATATAGAGCGACGCCGCTTTCGGGGGAAAATAAGCTACATGGACTTATATGAACCTGCCACGAGTAGGTACAGAACTATCCGAGTGAGAGCACAGACGGCTCGACTCGAGCATGTCTTACCGTAGGGAGCACACCGACACCCCGAGGAAGAAAAAGCACAGTCCTAGAGAAGCTGCTGAGCGATGTGAGTTGCTCAGAACTTCCGATATCATGCCAGTCAATTTCGGCACACCTTTGTGCCGCGTGATGTGGGCTGCGGTATTCAGCATTAAATACAGAGGCAGAAGAGACTTGTACGCATCCCACAGCACTTCCAAACGGATTCGACTGCAGTCGGGGCTCCATGTGTGCGCACATTCGTAGCAATTGAAGTCCACTCGGCGGAGCAGCTTCGAGAGAATCATGACGCAGGATTTCTCCGTCTTCGCTTCTCACTGTTTCATGGCAGACGGGTTTTCGACTCGTTTCATCGATCCCAGCAGTGACCGGACGAGAAAACGTTGGCTGCTCACTGTACTGGAAGCCTAGTGCTGTATAGTGGGATCTTGAGAAAGTTTTCGCGGCTGCATCCTGCTCGGAAAAGGGCCCAAGTCGGAAAGTGGCATCGCGCAAAGACTTCTGCTGGGGGCAGGCGACAAGGCCAATGAGCAGAACTAAGCAGTTGGATTTCAGTGAGAATTAAGCAACGAGACGGAACCATTGTTCCAAAGGTTTTCCTCGAGATGAGCTGCGAGAAACCGGAGAAGGACTATGAGGAAAATTCTTCGTAATTCTGATTCTCCTCTCGGAATGATTGTCTTCGCAGGGTTAAGCTCGAGGAGGAGCTTCGATACCTCACGGGAACTCATCCAGGGCGCCCAGGGTGCGTTTTTTTTCGATTTAGCAGGAGAGACAATTTCATAGATTTCCTGAGCGATGCGGAATAGGTCCCGAGTCCGAACACGTCACGGGAGAACGCTTAAGGATGGAGGAACACGTGTGCTGATTCGAGAACGTCAGGAAGAGCAATTACCGAACGGTAGTCTTGCGAATTCTCGCGACCGTTGTATTAAACGAGAGTTTTATTACCCGGCTACAAGAACCTGAGGTCGTCTTGTGACGGGATTTCGGCGTCCCGTGATTTCCAGGAGAACAAAACGTCTCAGCTAAGAAACCACAGAAACGCTCCAGCGCACTCGACGAGGAAGAAAAAGCAAGGGAAGCCCAGGAAAGAATTAACTACGGTCAGCTACAGCGGTAGCGGGCGGAGATTGCGGCTGAAATCGGACTTCCTCTGGACGCATGGTGACCCGTGAATTATTCACGTGTACTCTGCCCTCGGATTGCCTGGACACCGGTAGACTAGGGCAGATGGAAACCGTCTTCCCTGAAGCTCCTTCCGAGAATCGCTAAGGAACTCGAAGGACTACTCCGGACTTAATTTCTGAGAGCTGAACGTATGAACGCTGAACTGTATGGCCTTCCGGTCACCAGAAACTCCTCCACGCCAAACGACGCTTGGTATGAAGATCCTTTTAAAGATTCCTCCGCGATGAGAATGATTTCTGAATTCTGCTCACTTCTCTGGGCGCGACTGGTGTCTGCTGGCTCGATGCCTGATTCCTTGTAGTGGGAATCCCGCGGAAAAAAATAGCTCTCGCTGCCCGTTGTGCCTATGGGAGAGTAATAGCTCTTGATATCCCTACGGTTGGAGCCCGGTCGCGAACAGGGGCAGGTTGTCCGCCCTTTCCCCCAAATCTGAAATTATGGGGCCGCGTTCTGAAATTCTGCACCTTGCGATTGCTAATGGCATTATTCGCGAGCGTCTCATGAGATTTCTACTTCCAGTCACCGTTGAGGGATGGATAAGTTCTGAGATTTCGCCGCGAATGCGGAGTATTGTCGGGTAGCGGACTTCGGGTTTGTGTTCCGCTCTCCTCTCTGAATTTTCCGCCCCGGGCCGGCGGCAATCGATCATTCCGATCACGGATTTTTAATTCAAGGTTCCGAGACTCTCCGAATGTCAAGGATGGGAGTGTTCCCCGAAAGAGGGTGAGCTTCTACCGAGATCTGAGCTAATGCGATGCGCAGCCAGCAAGGCTGGCTGGACCGGTTGCCGGCTGGGTCCTCTCTTCACGGAGCATCGGATTTGAAGGAACGAATCCCATTATTGGCAGGCTTTGGATTTCACTTCATGCTTCTGAGCGAATGCCATTGCCGCTTGTGACCTCGACCTTGAGGTTGACCCCGCAGGAAACCTCAAAACGGCTATGGACTCACGCGGTCCAGAAGTCGTCTAAATCTCACTTAGATTCTAAACCCCTGCATGGCTGATCATGGATCAGTTCACATTGGGGAACTTCATGCACCCTACGTCTCGTGCCTGGGGAGATTTTGAAGCGGGGAGTGCATTCGGCTCGACTCGATTCTGTCTTCTGGCAAGAGTCGGAATCCCTGTGCTTCCCGAGAGTGGCTCGCTTCTCCAATGCAAAAAAACTGAAGGGAGAGAACTTCCCGATCGGAAATGCTTCTCGCTCCTTGTTTGGGTGGAAATAATCATCTTCGTTTCAACCCCCAAGAAACGAAATTCGCGAATCAGTCTCCTGACTAGCCGAGTCCGGACAGAGATTCTCTCCGTCGGGAAGTGATAAGCGACGGGACTGAGGTTCTAATTAGCCGCGACTCGCCGCCGGACAGGCCGATGAACGACCGAGCGAGCGAGTGGTCGGACAGTCGGACGCTCGAGATTGGGATTTTCGAGAAAAAAAACGTCAATAGGACAAAGGAGCTCGCTCTTTCAGTGAGTGTGGAGTGTCTCAAGATTGACGCCTCCTGTTTCTTTTGGCTCTGAATTGGGAAACAGCCAAGGGAGTCAGGCAACCTCGACCGAAGTCTGAACTTCAGGCTCTGAAGCCGCTGAAGGGCCCAGCTGATCACCGAGCACAGCTGAATGTCGGCGCGGGGAAGCTGAACTTGGCCGAATGTCTTCACGGAAATCTATTTTCGAGAAGGCTCATTGAGCCTCCGTAAATGAGCGATGACTAGCGGGCAGGGGTGGATTGGGGCGGTGGGGGGGAAAGCCAGCCCGCTACCTCGCTTTTCCCCCCGATACAGCCGGGAAATGCTCTTCGCACGCCCTCATGTCACGTGAGAGGAAATGGAAGGCGCTCATCCTGGAAGACCGAATCCGAGTGTGCAGAGGAGATTTTCAGCTTCAGAACGTTGTGGTTCTCCGGCGTCCGTACAGCCAGGGACCGTCAGCTATCAGAGGAGCGGATTGAAGAAGAAAATCCCTCAAGGGTGTCTTCTGAAAGGAGGACTCAAGAGGCTCGAACTAGATGTGATTGCTTTGCGTTGGGCGCATTTAAATGATCGAGCCGGCAGGTCGCTTCCTTGCGGGACCGTGAAACAGCAATCACAGGCTTCGGAAGTGCTTGACGCATCTCAAGGACCGATACAACATTAACTCATGGTGCCCTCACGAGAGATCCTTGATTGAAACTACGGAACCATGAAAGGACCGCAGACCATTGCCCCCAGACAGAGCTCTTGGAGTAGGCCTCGTCCTCCCGCATTTCCAGATGAGGTATTCGCATTTGGGCTCTCCCGGGATGCTTCTCCGCGACCGTTCATGCCTCCGTGGATTTAGCGAACCACGGACGGCGTCGATCCCGAGTCTACCAGAAGCACGGAAGAAATCCTCCTCTCCCCTCTTGCCGTGCGGCTACTGACGAAACTCACGCTCCTAAATGGTCAGGATGAGTGAAACGGGGAGGCTCGACGGGGCATTGATGTTTCAATCACGGAAAGGCGCCGAGATTAGGGCGAATTTTGAACAGAATGATCTGCGCTGGTTCACTAGAGCCGTGAACGGGCGATCCCCGAGGCTTTGAAGACGTCTAGTCAATTGTCTGGCTCGCATTCAAAACGAATCGTGCAGCTGCTGGTTTCATTTTTGAAAATGAAAACAGTCTCGGAACCATTAGTTTTGATTGAAAATCTCGATTGGGGGAAATGGAACACCTTTCGCTTCTCGAATAACGGGCTTGGCGCCCTATGTGGAGCCCGTAAGCCAGACTGAGATTCGAAGACTGAGGCTATCTCCGTGGTTGGATGAGTTCCACACGAGCGCCAACTCAGTCAGACTGTATCCGAACTTGATTCGCTACCTCTTTCTATCACCTTCTCTATTTCCTTTCTCAATCCTTCTCAGTCCGGAGCGATCTCGCGCGAAATATTGAATGACATCTTCAGTCGTGGTCACCGACCGTTGGGAGGAGGAGGGTGGCGCATCTGTCCGTCATATATTCGAAATAAACTCGACCATTTTTTCCTGAGCTCACTCAGATGCCTTCAAGCGGCTTACTGTGTTGGATCGGGTCCGACTCCGGCTATCTCCTCCAAAGAGATTCGCTTTCTCGTTGAATGGATGTCGGACCGAAATGGATTCGATTCGGTCAGTGCGTTTTAGTGGACTTAACGCTCTTTTCAGCGTTGCACCAAACCGGATTTCTGCACGATGTGCCCTCGAATTGATTTACAGCGCCCCAGAGCTCTGTATCGACTCGTACCTGGAAAGTTCGCTCTCCCGAGAGCTCTCACGGAGGCTGTGGGGCTATTCGATCGGTGATATTTTCCGCTCTGACTGAGCGGACACAATGATATCATCGTATCTCCATCGTATCATCGTATCTCGTGTCTCCTTCCTGCGAGTGGACTCTGAATCTATTCCCAAGATAAACTCACCATGAACGGCGTTCCGAATCTCTCGAACTAGTTTCCAAATACGGGATCGCACTAACTTCGATTAAGATCGGAAGAAGGATAGCGATGGGGATGAACGAGGAACAGATCGATCAATACTCAATAGAAAGATTGGAACTCCGTTCTAGAACTTGCAGCGAGTGAAGCTGACGCCGATGGTGGGCTCGAGCCTCGCCCACTGGCATCGAGGAACAAGGTCAAATGAAAAATCACCTTGAACAAAACAGGCCCGGACACTGTATTCTTCGCTTCTCGACTCCGACGGATCGACTCCCTGGTGACCGGGAGATATTGAAGTCTAGCACAACGGCCTTATTGGAACGGAACGCTCTTCCCTAGTCATCAATGCTGCTCCCACTGTTCATGCAAACCGATCCATTTATTCACATGCTCCGTGCCCTGACCGTGTTCCGGAGCGCTCTTGGCAGGCGCTCTAGCAAAGAACATCCTTGGCGATTTCGAGCGAGCACCGAGGACGCTTCCACTCGCGGGGCGAGGGATTGGAATGGAAAAAATTTCATTCGTGTTGATTCATGACGAAAATCTCTGAGCTCCAAGGCGCCTGTGCGGGTCATCCTCTGACGATGAAATCGCTTATTTCTGTTTCGCTCTTTCGTCCGCAGGCGACCGCGCCGTCTACCTATACCGAACGTAGCCGGCATCCGCTTAATCAGGGAGCCAAGCATAAGAATCTCCACGGCAACTGAGCGTGTCGGCTGAATTTTTGCCTATTT